AAGATGGAATAGAAGTAGTATTTGATAATGAAGAAGTAGAGTTATCAGAGAAAGAAGGTGTAGGGGATGAGCAGGGAAGTAATAAGGTTAATGACTGAGAGTGATGGTTAGTGTTATTGAGTTTGTTGGATGGAGTAATCAAAACTGACTTGCTGATGTTGGAAGATGGATTAGAAATGGATGTATTAACATCATGAAATGAGGTAATGGAAATTGACTTGTTAGTAGTGAAGGAAGGATTAGGAACAGAACAGTCCACTACAGGGGAGACTTTACTGTTTGCACCATTTGAGAATGGAATAGAGACAAAAAGAAATATAGTAGGGGAACTATTAGGGACTATTGCTTTGAGTAAAGGGGAACATGAGCTGGACAAGTTTTGACCAAAACCAGTAGCAAAAAGGAACTCCAGTTCGTTGAATTGAACATTAGGAGTAATGAAAATTTTTCACTCTAAGCTAAGACATTTATAACCTTTATGAACTAAACTATAACCCAGAAAAACACATTTAAAAGAGTGGAAATTCAATTTGTGTTTATTGAAATCTTTTAAGAATGGAAAACAAGCACAACCAAAAGTTTTTAATTCAGAATATACAGGAAACTTGCTGTAAAGAACCTGAATGGGGACAAAAAAAATCCAAAACTGAGGTAGGCATTCTATTAATAAGAAAGACATCAGTATCAAAAGCACACCACCAAAAATGTAAAGGCACGGATGCATGGGCTAGTAAGGTAAGTCCAGTTTCTGCTATATGTATATGCTTCCTTTCACTTCTCCCTTTTTGTTGGAGCACATAGGCACAAGAATGCCTAAGCTGAATTCCAGCAGTGGTAAGGTAAGGTATCAGACCTCTATACTCTCCTCCTTGGTCAGACTATAAGGTTTTGAGTTTATATCCAAGCTATCTCTCAACAAGATGGTGAAATTTGATGAAAGTGGACTGAACCTACTATAGTCATCAATAAAATGAATGTAGTATTTAAAACCTTCTAAGGAAGCTACTGGTGTTGGTCCCTAAATGTCACTGTGACCAATTTCAAAGGGCTGTGTAGCTCTAGAAGTTGAACTAGGAAAGTGATTTCTATGTAATTTTCCTAGTCTACATGCATCAAAAAAACTCAAGGATGAAACAAATTCTGAGGGTCATGGTGAATGTGAGGTAAAATTTTATTCAAGACATTAGCATGAGGGTGTCCTAGGCAATTATGCTAGAGGGATATTGTATTATTCCTAGTGTTGCTAGCATGGAAAACAGTAGGGTTAGCTACTAAGGACTTAGAGCACTTATCATGATCAAGGAAGTCAACAAAATTGAGAGTGTTTGTTTCAGATTTTTCAATGGCAGAATTATGATAAAGAGTTTTAGTAATTTTAGAATTTGCAGTAGTAAAGTTATCAATGTGAGAAATATCAATGTTCCTAGTAGAATCTATTACAGCAACATCAAACACAGAAGCAGTACGTAAAGTAGAGCCAGGATCAAATTTGTTCCTAGTATAATCCATTGCAGTAGCAAAGTTATCAATGTGAGAAATGTTAATGTTCCTAGTGGAATCTATTATAGCAACATCAAACATAGAAGTAGTATGTAAAGCAGAGCCAGGATCAGATTTGTTCCTAGTAGAATCTATTGCAGTAGAAAAGTTATCAATGTGAGAAATGTCAATGTTCCTAGTATAATCTATTGCAACAACATCAAACATAGAAGCAGTATGTAAAGCAGAGCCAGGATTAGATTTGTTCATATCAGAATCATCAACTATATTAGGAGCATTATCAGAAACATAAATATTTACAGAAGTAGTGAAATCAAAATTATCAGCTTTAGTAACATTAATATCAAAGACAACAGCATTAGTGTCAGGTATACTAGAATCAGAGTGTTGCAAACATTGTGTCTTATTGATGGAATCAGGATTACAAATATTTGCATATGAGGTAAGATTTCGATTACTACAAGATACTTGAGGAACTTGATACCTATGATCATTATTAACTGAAACATTCAGTGGACTGCTAGTCAGTATATTACAATTGACATTAGCAGCTTGTAAACTGCACTTAGGACTAATAAACTAAGGTAAACTATGAGTGTACTGACTGTTAGTGCCTGCTGATTTATTTGAAAACAAGGTATTACAAAACCTAGGACTCAAAGCAGCTGACTTTTCTAGACCACCAGAAGTGTAACCAGAGGAAAAGCAAGAAGGTATGTGCAATTGGTATATACTAGCCTTAAGTCCTCCCTATAGTAACACTACCTTGGTAGCCTTGTCCTTAACAACACAACAATCAGAGTCAAATTCCACAATTACTTGATTATCTTTAGTAAATCTAGAATACTAAGGAGATTTTTAGTTATTCTAGGAACACATAACACATTGTGCAAATGTAAACACTTGGAATGAAATGAACTAGGAAATAAAGTTGAACCTATATGGGATATATGTAAAGACTCACCGTTGCCAACTTGTAGTTGTTCAACCATCATAATTCTTGCTAGAAGTCAGTTGATTAGGATCAGGGGTAACATGGTCAGTGGCTTCTGAGTTCATGTACCAAGCTGGATCAACTGGGGCAGTTGTTGTGATATTCATATGTGTGTGAGGGTAATAGTTCGAAGAAGGTGTATGGTTAGACACAAGGAAAGCTTAGTTAGGAGTTGAATTCTAGTATTGACCTTGCTGACTAGGGACATGAAATCCTTGCTGTTGATGAAGGAAATGAGGCCTTCCTTGCAAATCAGTGTGTTGTTGTTGATATTGCAAGTTAGAGCTTGTATCTGACTGAGATGATGAATCATAGGATCCATTTGAAGGAACAATAGTATGCTGGCTTCCAGATTGGGAACCATAAGTACTACTAGTGTTGAAACTTTGCTGATTTCCAAATTGAGGTCCATAAGATCCACTGTGGAATCCTAGATTTGGATGTTGTGTATAGTTGAAAGAACCAGAGCCAATTTGTCCTGACATGCCAACTTGAGGAGGTGCACCGTTGTAAGTAGAGTTATAACGGTGATAACAGTGGGCTGCTGTGTGGCCAATTTTGCTGCAAACTTGGTAGATAGGCTTGCCTCTACCATTACTTCTTCCTCTACCTCTTCCAATAATAGGTCTATATGGTGAGTAGTAGTGACCTAAAGCTCCATACCAACTAGAGGATAACAGATAATTCTAAGATCATATAAGAGGATTAGGTGAGCTTTGCGGTTGGGACTGATCACGAGCAACTAGGCTAGATGTGCCATTAAGTGCAAAGGAGATCTTAGTATTAGCTAGCAATGAAATTTGACCACTTGAATTCCCAAGGGAAGCAATATTAACAAAACCTCCATGAAAATCTATAGAATTAAACCTATCAAGCCGCAACTCATATTTTTGTAACAGAAACTAAGCCTCCTGCAAAGTGATTGGATCAATCTTAGATTCTATCCTAGAGGTTAGATTGATAACAACAACATCAAATTCTGGACCTAAACCATTTAAAATGTGTTGAAGGAGATCTTCATCTGAGACCACTTGACCACTTGCATACAAGCTTTCAGCAATGCCTTTCATCTTCTTTACATACTCATGAATACTCAGATTACCTTTCTGAGTTGTTTGAAGTAAATTCTTCAAGTGTAACACTCTGGCCTTTAACTCAGTTACAAATTCAGCTTCAAGTTTAAACCATACTTTAGAAGCAAATTGACATTTCGAGACGAGTGAATATGAACTCAAAAATTGAGGCTAGAAGCCAAGTCAAAAGGAACTTTTCAGTTCGTTTCCAGGTTACATAAGCTAGATTTAGCATTTCTTTGGCTAGGGTTTCAATTGACTTGCTATCACTCAACTCAATTGAACAAGAAACAGGAGTAATAAAAGGAGCTGGACAGGGAATTAAACCTGTCAAGGGTTCTTCGAGTTCATGTGCTCCCACAACGAAAAGAACTTGCAATCGCCAAAATTAGTAATTGTCAATGTAACTATCTCTTGTGAGTTTGGGAATGACAACCTGGAGACTTGACGAAAAGATTGAGAGTTGGGAACTAGCTAGCTTGTTTTGCATTTTCTCCGTTGAAGCTAAAGAAGTAATCAATTGTTAGGATCGTTGCCATCGACGCTTGTCTCTAGCTCTGATACCATGTGAGATTGGGAAACAGAGATCGAAAGAGTTCTGGAATATTCAAAACTCGTGTATTTTGTTGATTAATTTTCAGTTAATACAAGCTGAAACTATAACTGAGTTTACATATAAAGAAGAGAGTAAACCCAGCTTAGTGACAGAGTAAAGTTCTACTTTACAAAACGACCTCATTTCTTCACCTACAGTTCTCCTTATATTCTGGCTAACAAAGGGGAAGATGGAGGTAGAGATTTGTAAATGTAAGGTGGAAGAGGTGAAGGAGATGATGGTGGAGATTTGTAAATGTATGGAAGAGAAGGTGAAAGAGATGGTGGGGCAGAGACTTGTAATGATACGGTGGATGTTTGATGTGTTTAGGTGGAGTTGGGGATTTGTAGATGTAAGGAGGTGGTGGTGAATGAGATGGTAGAGGTGGGGACTTATAAATGTATGGTGGTGATGGTGAAGAAGATGGTGGAGATGGAGATTTGTAGACATAAGGAAAAGGAGGTGACGGAGAGGGTGGAGGTGGGGATTTGTAATAATATGAGGGAGAAGACTTTACTGGAGGAGGTGGCAACTTATAATAGTATGTTGGAGGGGAAGAATGCTTTGGCGGTGGTGGACTCTTGTGATAGTACGATGGATGTTCTATGTGTTTTGGTGGAGGTGGTGACTTATACTGGTATGATGGATGTTCTAATTTCTTAGGTGGTAGAGGGGACTTGTAATTGTATGGTGGGTGATTCAAGTGTTTTGGTTGTGGTGGAGACTTGCAATACGATGGATGATTCACATGCTTTGATGGTGGAGGCGACTTGTAATAATATGGTGGGTGCTTCACATACTTTGGTGGGGGAGGAGATTTATACTTGGAAGTTGTATGTTATTGTGGTGGGGGTGGAGACTTATAGTAGTATGAAGGATGACTAACACGCTTTGGGGGTGGAGGTGACTTGTAATAGTATGGTGGTTGCTTTACATATTTTGGTGGGGGTGGGGATTTATGCTTATAAAGTATATGTTTAGGGAGTGGCAATGACAATTTATAGTGCTTTAGAGGAGGTGGCGACTTGTGATAGTATGATGGGTGCTCTACTAGCTTTGGCGTTGGTGGTGGTGGTGGAGCCATATACTTGTAAGGTTCATGCTTTTGTGATTGCGGCAAAGACTTGTAGTAGTACGATGGATGACTTACATGCTTTGGTAATAAAGGAGACACATAATTGTAAGGTTTGGGTTTGTAAACTTGCTTTGAGTAATGTGGTGGTGGTGGGGAGCTATAAGTGTAAGGGGCATAAGCTACCACATTTTGTGAAATGAGGCAAATTGCCATAGCATAAACCAAGCGAGGCCATTGCCCTGTTTGTCTTAGGGTTCCCATTTCTCGCAATCGAATTCTTTTTGCTAGAAATGTAATCTCAATACTTGGATGATGATAAACTTATTTGCTTGCTACTATTTATATAGTGATCTTTTAGATCATTAGTAACATAGATATATTTCTTTAATATTAGATAACAAATTAGATTAAGTATTTAATCACAAAATTGTTGTCTTCAATTCTCAAATTTCATTTTATTTTTTTGTACGTGATTGGTGGTTTCCCACTAAGTTTCTCTATTTTGTATTTTTGTTTATAAAATGCCTTCTATTAGTCAAAATTGAATTTTTAAGATGCTACTAATAAAATAAGGAGTAAACAACTTTTTCCCAACCAAGGTTTGCCTTAATGACACTTTCCCACCCAAAAAGTTTCAAAACACCATTTTCCCACCCAAAATTAATATTATGTTACTACCCAAAGTCGATTTCCACCAATTTTGATGGCAAAAATTATCTCCGTCACCACCATTTAAACCTCTGTTCTCCTTTCTACAAAACCTCTTTCACTTCGGCACCTAATTTCTCACTGATCGCGGGCTACCACAAAGCTAGGGTTTCCGGTTCTTAGCTGATTTCTAGTTGATTCCAGTGGCGAATAGTCAATCAATCACCACCGTTCCATCCACTAGCCTCCACTCTACAAAAGCCTTTTTACGCTAGCTCTTGGTAACTCGCCGAATGCCAGTCGAGAAAGTGAAGTGTACTTAGGGTATTAACGGAATATAAACATTGGGTAGGAAATGGTATTTTGAAACTTTTTGGGTAGGAAAAAGTCGTTTACTCGAAAATAAATAACAGAAACATGGGAGCATCAATGCAGCAAGGGCAAAATTTTGTATCGTTTAATTTGATTAAATTATACAAATAGAATTAACTTATTGCAAATTGAAATTATAGCATGTTTTCTATATTATCTCACATAGTCACAATATGAATTTATTAAATTAGTCTCTAATGATGATTTAATACATAAAGTCTTACATGAATTTTTTGAGAAAAGTCTAGAAAGAGCAAAGCTAGAGCGAAAAATGAAAGAGAGAAACTGTTTTTGTTCTATTAATCTTTGTTAACAAACTTAACAGCAATCTAAGTTTATATACTAGCTCAAAGACACGAGCTGAACTTAGTCAACTAATATAACAGATTTAACTCAGTTTTAGTTTCAGAACTACGTCGTTTGTACAAGAGCAGTCTACTCCTCCTAACTTTCATTTCTGGCCTTTTAACCCATTGATCTTTGCATGGTCAACATTGCCCCTCAAAATGGACTATTGTGCGTCTTCTGGATGTGCATCTTCCGTCAGTACTTTACTTTGCATTCTGACACTTTTCAGGCAAGAACAACTCAAAGAAAAATCTTTCCTTCAAATAAAAGATAATGTATTTAGCAGGAGGATCATAGCTTCATCACTATTTCATTTTCTCTATAACATATCATCACCATCAGCAATCATCACCACAGTAGGAGGATCATAGTTTCATTTTCTTTATAACACATCATCACCATCTGTTTCATTTTCTCTATAACACATCATCACCGTCAGCAATCATCACCACATTTTCTCTAAAACACACCATTACCATCAGTAATCATCACCACATTTTCTCTAAAACACATCATTACCATCAATAATCATCACCACATTTACATTATATCACCATCGGTCAAATATATATGAAAGAAAGAACTGAAATAGTGAACTGGCAACAATATGCTATAATAGCAATTTTCACACACCTGCCACAATGCCACATACCTACCTATATCCAACTATAAACACAACATTTCAGCATCAACATGTTAATTTCTACTAATCATGTTGCGAAGAAGAGACAACATTGAGTTTCTTTTGTAATTTAGCAAATTGAGCTGCGGAAAGGGGTTTTGTAAGGCAGTCAACAATCTGAAGTTTGGAGGGAACATATTGAATCACCATTTTCTTGGCCAATACTTGTTCTCTTATGTATTGAGCATCAATCTCTATGTGTTTAGTTCGAGCATGAAACACAAGATTAGTAGCCAATGCCCTTGCACTAACATTATCACACCATATAACAGGGGTATTATGAAGAACAACATCTAATTCAGAGAACATACTCTGTAGCCAAGCCACCTCTGTAGCTGTGTGGGCTAGGGCCCTATATTTTGCTTCAGTTGAAGAAAGTGCCACTACCTTTTTTTTCAAGAACTCCATTGGATTAGGTTAGGTCCCAAGTAGATACAGTAGCCACTTGTTGACCATCTATCTTCTAGACTGCTTCCCCAATTGGCATCTGGATAACATTCAATTTGTAGGAAGCTAGCTCGTTTGAACTGAAGACCATAATCTAAGGTGCCTTTGATGTACCGAAGCACTCTTTTGCATGCTTGCCATTAAAGCTTTGTAGGAGTTTGTAAAAATTGACTTAGTTTGTTAACTATGAAACTGATATCAGGTCGTTATAAAGTAAGGTATTGTAAGGCTCCAATGGTACTCCTATATAGATTATGATGATCAAATGGTGGGCTATCATTTGGGAATAACCAGGTGTCTAATGCCATAGGTGTAGAACAAGCATTGGCTTCTAACATCTTGGTTTTGAGAAGAAGATCAAATGTATATTTTGATTGCTTAAGATGAATACCACTTGCTGATCTATTAGCTTCCAAACCCAAAAAATACTTCAAGGAATCCAATGTTTTTAAAGCAAACTAATCATTGAGATCCTGAACTAATTAGAGAACATAATCACCATCAGAACTAGTGATAAGGATGTCATCAACGTACACTAACATGTAAATCAAACTAGAATTGTGCTTGAGAGTGAACAAGCTAGAGTGATAAATAGAATTGATGAACCCTTTGACAAGGAGAGCAGTTTTTAGCTTATCAAACCATGCCTTAGGTGCTTGTTTAAGCCTATACAAAGCTTTATTTAACTTGCACACAAATGAGGGATGTTCAGAATCTTCAAAACTAGTAGGTTGAAGCATGTAAACTATCTCATTCAACTCACCATTTAAAAATGCATTATTGACATTAATTTGTTGGATGTCCCATCCATTGGTCACGGCTAATGTGATAATGAGTCTAATTGTTGAAGGCTTGACAACCAGACTAAAAGTTTCGAGGTAATCCAAGCCAAGGGTTTGCTGGAATCCCTTGGCAACCAATCTAGCCTTATATTTCTGTAAGGAACCATCAGCATTGAATTTGGTTCGAAACACCCACTTGTTGATAACTATGTTCATATCAACCAAGGAAGGAACAAGTGACAAGGTATTGTTTTTAACTAATGCTTCAAACTCACTTTGCATGGCATTTTTTCATTCAGGAGCTATAAGAGCTTCAATGACAGTAATGGGTTCAGGCACTACAGAACTGCGACTTACTGTGAACAGTACTTTGGGGGCGATAAGAATAGTAATACCCGAGGACTCAGCATGTATAATATTGGTAATAGAAGGGACTACAGATGTAATATCACCAGTAGAGGTTGCTGTCATAGATGCATTATAAATGTCACCAGTAGGGTCTGCTGTTGTGTTGGCCTTACTGGAAACTGTAGACTTATAACTAGCAATGGGAGTTGCTGTCTTAGTAGTACCAATAGGGAGAGAAGCAGCTGATTTGGATCTTGTCACCATGGGGTGAACATTGATAGTAGAATGGACCCGAGAGGTTGAGTTATCATGAGGTTTGAAGATGGGGTGATCATCCGCAGTAATGAGATTTGGTGAAGCTCTTGCTAATGACTCATTTTGGGAGGAAAATGTAGCAAGCTATGGTATTTGTGAGGAGGGAATTTTGAAATCAATTTCTAAGTTACAGGTTGGTGGAATAAAAATGGGAGGTAAGACTGGTAGAGAGGATACAAGTTGAGATTTAGTTGGTGAAGGTGAGGCAGAGGGTGTTGTTTGAGATTCTGATAATGGTAAAGGTGAAGTGAGTGTTGGTGATGAATTTATGATGTGATTAGTAGGTGATGGTGATGCAGAAGTAGGTGCTGATGAAGAGTGTGGTATTTGGGACAATGTTGGATCTGGAATATGCTTACCAACTGCTGTGATGTTAGGTAAAGTCCTATTGGGAGCATTAGATATTGCAGATGGGACAAGACCATTCAGGGAGGGAGTATGAGAAATCATAGCACAGGGAAATGTTGCAAAATGCTGATATGAAGTAACAATGTGTGAGGATTGACCAGAGGATGTATGTGGAGAAGACTCATAACAAAAATCTTTGCAAGAAAAAGGGAATTCTGACTCATTAAATTTGATAGTAGGGATAACAAATATTTTTCCATCGAACATGAGGCATTTATATCCTTTTTGTACTAAGCTATAACCAACAAAAATACACTTAGAGGAATGAAAATTGAATTTTTGAGAACTAAAATCTCAAAGATATGGAAAGCAATCACAACCAAATACCTTTAGACTCTCATACACAGGATGTTTATGAAACAATTTCTGATATGGTGAATCATAGTTAAGAACACTAGTGGGCATTCTATTTATGAGGAACACAAAAGTTTCAAACCACCAATATCTAAGAGGCATAGATGAATATGCTAGTAAGGTAAGGCCAGTTTCAACAACGTGTCTATGCTTTCTTTCACTCCTACGATTTTGTTGATGGACATAAGCACAGGAATACCTAAAGGTGATCATACCAGTTTCATTAAGTTAAGGAATGAGAGCCGTATACTCACCACCTTGATCAGATTGCAAGCATTTGAGCTTGTATCCAAATTGTCTCTCATCAAGATGGTGAAATTTAACAAAAATGGATTTCACTTCAGCCTTGGTTTTTAAAGGGAACAGCCAGGTGAACCGACTATAGTCGTCTAAGAATTGAACATAGTATCAGAATCCTTCTATAGAAGGAAAAGGGGCAAGACCCCACACATCAGTATGAACTAATTCAAGTGGGGCAGTAGCATCGGATTGTGATGAAGAAAGTGGGGTATGGTGTGCTTTTCCTAATTGGCATGCATCACAAAAAGACACGGTTG